GCGTTTAGGTGTAGGTGTAGATGGTATATTGGAAAGAAGCGTTTCTACGTCGCCGGGGCGTGCTGACGCAACAAATGTTAATGTGTAGACTAAAACCCAACAAATTTTAAACAAACAAATAAAACCCCAATTTTTTTAATCGAAGCAAACTGAACCTCCAGTAATTAACGATGATAATTTTGTAAATGAAATAAAAAAACATTATTGTTCACTTAATTTAATGACTTTATTTTGTATTTTTAGACAAAATCCTTCCTAGAATTAGGAAAAAGTATCAAAACGTATTTATTATCTATGCTAAACTTCTTTTTGAGTCTAATCATTAAAAGATGACTTACAGTCAATTTAGTCATCATACTATGTGATTAACACAGTTTGTTATCTCTAGTGAACTATTAAGTTGAAACTACAATGGAGTTAATGAATCTATATTTGATCATTATAAAGACGAGACATGTTGCAATAACAAAACAACTATATCTCGTATGTAAATAATACTTTAAAATTATTTTCTATATGTTTACATATCTCAATACTAAGAATACGATCTAAAAAAAAGTTTAGAGGCAACACTAAATGCATTATTATTGTTTTTTCTAATTTTGTGGAGCATATTATATTTCTAAAATTTGTTGAGTTTTAATTTACAGTTTTGAATTTTGTTAGGGTTTTTAGGTGAAACTGAAATAGATGGAGTTTTACTAATTCGCCTCTCTTTTTTTTAGTCTCTTCTATTTGCGTGGTACGAGACCATTTGATAAGCTGATTTGTGTCATTTTTGTGTCTTGCTTTAAATGAGCTGATTGGCCATTTTTTTTTTTTGGTCAACAGCTGATTGGCCAATTAGTCTTGTGTTTTTTTCAAGTGAAGGAGAACTCGAGAAGAAAGAACGGCGAGTGTCGTCTCTCAGAGACGTGCCTCTTTGATGAAAGATAGAAACATTCGTCTAGAGCATTTAATTTTATCCAAAACAAGATGTACTTAATTTAGCAATGACGTTTAATTTTTTTTTTTGGTATAAATGTTAAGATATGGCGTTTAATCTCTAAACAAAGTAGTAGGTTCTTTATCAAATAACAAAGTAGTAGGTCTCACCAAATTCAATTATGTGAGTATCTCTATTTAATGAGAAACTCTCACCAAAGAAGCTCTCACCAAATTTTCTCAAAAACAAAGTATTTAACTTTTCTGTAGAAGTGTTAATGAAGATGCTCTTCGC